AAAAAATATTTATTTATTATGTATACAATATTCTGTCTGTGTGTATGTCTGCAGTCTAGAAGAGGGCACCAGACCTCATTCCAGATGGTTGTGAGCCACCATGTGGTTGCCGGGAATTGAACTCAGGACCTTTGGAAGAGCAGACAATGCTCTTAACCACTGAGCCATCTCTCCAGCCCCCGACAACCTAGTTTTTTGTTTCTATTGTTTTGTTTCTATTTCACGGTGGGTTTTTTTTTTTTAAGATTTCTTTTTATTTCTGCACTCGTGCATGAGCATGGGTGTGGGGAGTTGAGACACCATCAGACTCCCTGGAACTAGGAGGTCACCTGCATGGGTGTCAGCAACTGAGCTCTGAGCTTCCAGAAGAGCAGGAAGCTTTCTTTCCCACAGAACACTAAGACCCAGGCTGGGCTGGAACTCAGGACAGTCCTCCTGCCTCAGCTTCCCCACTGTTTTCCCTCTGTATTTGCCACCCACGGATTATTTTTCGGTTTCCCTGAGTCTGTTTTTGGGAACCTTAGTGTTTGTGTTCCTTGGCTTTTGCTGAAGAAACGACCGGCAAATGAGATAAATGCTCTGTACCCTCATGAACTTCATCCCCTGGGAAGGAGGAAGGGTCAGCAATCGTTCCACGATTCAGGGTTGATTTAGGGTTGAGGAGAGGAGAGGTAGGAACCTGACTTAGACTGACGTGCCACAGACGGCTCCCCCAAACAGCCAGCTTTGGGATGGAGGAGGGAAAGATGAGCAGAAGTTAGCCCTGAAGAGAAAGAAAAGACTAACTTTAAGGAAGGTGGATTTCTCACACACCTAATTCTACTCTCTCTCTCTCTCTCTCTCTCTCTCTCTTTCTCTCTCTCTCTTACACACACACACACACACACACACACACACACACACACACACACACACCTACTGTTACTGTTTCCATTCATCCCCAAATGTGGGCCCTAAGACTGACAGTTCCTAGACCCTCAGGCATCCATAGTGTTGTGGTAGGGCTTGCTGTTCCTTTATATCACTCTCTTGCCTCTTTTGAAATAGTCACCTAGCCCATCCCTTCGGGCGGGCCTGGAGGGGGAAATGAGAGGGGGAAGCTTTGATCTTACCTGGCTCCCAACCCATCCACAGCCTCCATTGAGGGTGGCCCACAGGTCTCCATGGTGGGTCTGCTTCGACACATCTTATCCCAGGAGGGTGTGTGGGGCCTCTACCGGGGCATTGCCCCCAACTTCATGAAGGTCATTCCAGCTGTAAGCATCTCCTACGTGGTCTACGAGAACATGAAGCAGGCCCTGGGGGTCACATCCAGGTGAGGGACCGGGAACCTGTCACCCCAAGATTCCCTCATCTTCGTCACGGCATCTCCCATGCTGACGTCCTCAACCGCCAGAAACTAATGGCCTGACCAGTGGTTCCTAATCCCCCAACCCAAGCCTCTGGATACCAGAACCCAAGTCCCAGGTCGTTGGCCCTGTGTTCTGACATCTGTACCACTAGGCCCCACTCTTTGGCCACTGGATCCCAGTACTGGATCCTCGACTTCACAGCGAGACTCCCAGACCCCAACTGCTGTACCTCATACATCACTTGAGATGCAGAACTATCCACACTCTGGCCCTGAGCCCTTATCCCCAAGCCCCTTGACCCTGCTCATCAACACACCAGAGCCAGATCCTGCTTTTCCCTGCCTTACCCACTGGGAGCTGGGCCACCCTGTGCAACAACAGATGGTCCCAGTGCCCCAAGCATGAAGGCACACATCAATGTATCCCGTAACCCAGATCTCAGATTCTTCAGGCACCAGACCCTCATGCCTCACTAGACCTGAGACCCTAAATCTGCTGGTGAGCTCCCTGTCACTCGCCTCATAGTCTGGATTCTAGAAGCCAGGAACTCTTAGCCACAGGGTCCTGATCCTGGGTTACTGGATCCCAGATCCCTCACCCCAAACAATTCTTTTACCTCAACTTGGAGTTTCATGCCCTTCCGCTTTGACTGCCGGATCTACATTTTAGCACACCCTCAATCTCCTGTCACTGGATCCAAGAGTCCCAAGTCCTTAACCCCCTGGATTCTGGTTCCGTGAACCACCAACGTGTGAGCTCCAGGGTGGATTCTAGATACCACAGCTGTAGCTGTTCAATCTCAGATCCCAGATTCCTTCAACCCCTTCTCTGGATACCAGCCATAGAAGACCAAGCTCTCCCAGACACTACCAGGTTCCAAGCCCTTTGCTCCTGCACCCCAAGTTCTCAGTCTACTCCCTAAGTCTAGATCCCAGCAGCCCAGTGGCAGCATCTCAGATCCCACAGGCACCCCAGTATCCCAGACACACCCTGGAGCTGATTCCCACTGCATCCCACACCATCGGGGATCCTTCTGGAAGCCCAGACCCTGGACTAGTAAGTAGCTCCACACCAGTAAGGGAATGGGATGTATGTCCCACACCATTCCCCACATGAATGCTGAATCTCCCCACAGCTAGGACACACCTCCACTCCTCCACCACTCCCCCAAATCACCTCCCTCCCCATCTCCCTCTCTGCAATGTCTTCCACACCCCTGCCTATCTGCCAGGCTAGTAACTTCCCAGAGTCCAGGTTCCTCTGGGAGGGTCTGGTCTGCTTACTCATGGTGGGGATTTACCAGGTGAAGCCAAGCGACACAGCCAAGGGGACCTTCTGCATCCCAGCACTGCCAGCCCTGCTCGGGCCTCAGAAAGTCACAATTAAAGACCAATACACAGCATCCTTCCTGAAACCCAGCATCCAGTATGCAAAATGAAACAACCCCAGACTGACTCGGGGTCTATTTTTCTACCAGACGGAGAACAAAGTCCCCTGACTCCCCACAACATTCCCATACCCTCCACACTTCAACGTTGGATTCTGAGCTTAGGATAAGTGGGGGGGGCCTGCTCAACTCCCCGATCTCTGGGGACCCCATCAAAGGACTGAAAGGAACTAGGATGTTGAGGGGCAAGAGGACCCCACCATGGCTTCCACCTCTCCCTCCAGCCTACACCAAGTCCGTCTCTCTGCCCGTGTATGTCATTTCAAGGGAAGAGAATAAATTTTCTAAGCTCTTTCACTGTTGCTTTTTCATTTTTTAAAATTACATTTGTTCTTAAAAAGAAAAAAAAGAGGAAAAAAATTACATTTGTTCTTTGAGGGAGGGGCATATGGAAGCCAGAGGAGAGCTTGCGGGAGTCTGCCCTTTCCTTCCATCATGTGGGTCCTTCCATCATCAGTGGTCAGACTTGGCAGCGAGCAGCTTTGTTGACCCCGCTGTAGGTCTGTGACTTTTAGAAACTTATGGGTGTGTGAATGGCACCGGGGTACTCCCAAGGAAGGGAGATGAGACACAACTCTCTCTCTCTCTCTCTCTCTCCATCCTCTCTTCCCTTTCACTTTATCCCCTGCTTCCCACCTGCCTTCATCTCCCACTTCCTCCTTCCATCCTCTCTCCCTCCTCTTCCCCTACTTTCTTGTTTCTCCTCTATCGCCTCCCCCTCCTTTCCTTCCTTCCCGGTTCCTCTGCCCCGCTCCTCTTCCCTCTTCTCCAAGAGCTGGAAACTTCAGTTTCCACTCCATTTATAAACAATAAGCAGGCTGGAGAAATGGCTCACTGTTGAGAGCCCGCTGCGCCTGCAGAGGACCCGAGCTGCAGTCTCAACACCCACATGATGATTCACAATCACCTACAGCTGCAACTCCAGGATATAGCGCCCCCTTCTGGCCTCAGAGGACACTGCACTCACATGCACACACATAGACACACCACAAGTGAGGCCCTGGCCACCCAAATCTGGTCCCTGAGACTCACAGGCAAGTGGAAGGAGGGAATGGAGCCCACAACATAGTCATCTGACCTCCACACACGCACACCCAAATAATACATTTTAAAGATTTGATTTGTTGTGTGTATCTGATCTGTGTGTGAGACAGCCAGAGGCCTCAAATCCCCTGGAGCTGCAGTGGCTGTGAGCCACCTAACCTGGTGCTGGGAACTAAACCCAGGTCCTCTGTGAGAGCACTATGTTTTCTTTTTTTGTCGACTTTGTTTGTTTTTTGAGACAAGGTTTTCTGTAGCTTTGGTGCCTGTCCTGGAACTCACACTGTAGACCAGGCTGGCCTTGAACTCACAGACATACCCCCCCCCCTGTCTCTGCCCAGTTTGAGAGCAATAGGCACTCTTACTGGCTTGAACCATCTCTCCAGCTCCAATTAAAACACACACACCCTGGGTTGTGGTGGTATACACCTTTAATCCCAGCTCTCCAAGGGCAGAGGCAGGCGCACCTCTGAGTTCCAGTCCAGCCTGGTCTATGAATAGAGTTCCAGGATAACCAGGACTGTTACACAGAGAAACCCTGTCTCTTTTTAAACCTGGGTGAGGTGGCACACGCCTGTCATCTCAGCACTTGGACTGGTAAAGACCGAAGATCAGGAGTGCGGAGTTATTGCTGGCTGCATAGCAAGTTTTGAGGTTAGCCTGAACTACATGAGACCCTGTCTCACTGATCCCCACCCTCCAAAAAAATTAATATTTCAAGTGGTGGTGAGACACACCTTTAATCTCAGCACTTGGGAGGCAGAGACAGGGAGATGTCTGAGTTCAAGGCCAGTCTGGTGTACAAAGCAAGTTCCAGAACAGCCAGGGCTATACAGAGAAATGCTGTCTCAGAAAAGAAGATTTGTTGTCCGCAGATTTGGCAGCCCAGAGCTCGTTCACTGGGCTACACAGCTACCCCTGATTAACTCCAGAACTCTCTGTCTGTCATGTGGAAGCTCTCCTCAACACTAACTCCATTCTGCTTCCTGCCTTGGGAGGTGGAGGCAAGAGGATCCGTATTCAAGGTCATCCTCAGCTACTTGGTGAGTTTGAGACTAGTCTGGGCTTCAGGCCGCCCATCTCAAAACAAAACAAATGAAAATTATTGTTTAGATACCATTCAGAGGACCAAGCTAGCTCTTCCTGGGCTACAGGATTAGGATGTGCACACCATGGGGAGACAAGAGCAATCACACTGCCTACCCATCATGCCCGTGAGCTCACAAGCACTCTTGTGACCTCATCCTCCCTTGCCCCTAAATTCACAAGTCAGGCAATCATCCACTCTCAGCTGGGAGCCAGCTAGATGCCCGAGGGACACTGAGACCAAGACCCGAATCCTTCAGCAGCTATGGGAGTCCATCCCGAGGTAACGCAACCTTGTTCGAGGGTTCAGATCTTGCTTAAGAGGGTTGGGGTTTTATTTAGAAAAGCTCTACACCTGGTCCACCCAACCCATCCCTGCCCCCTCCCTTACCTCCATCCACACACATGAACCATGAGGTGATTCACACCCACCATGAGGTGGTTCACACCCATTGTCCCAGCACTGGGGGTGAGTGAGGCCATGAGATGGTTCACGTCCATTACTCCAGCACTGGGGGTGAGAGTATGAGGTGGTTCACACCCATTGTCCCAGCACTTGAGGATGAGGTCATGAGGTGGTTCACACCCAATACCCCAGGACTCAGGGGTGAGGTCATGAGGTGGTGTGCACACACACACACACACACATTACCCAGCACTCAGGAGGCTGCAGGCAGGACATCAGAAGTCCAAGGTCAGCCAGGCTGAGATGGATCTCTGTGAGTTCAAGGCCAACCTGGTCTACAAGAGCTAGTTCCAGGGTAGGCTCTAAAGCTACAGAGAAATGTCAACCTCTGGCCTATACACACTCACACACATATCACTGCACACACACACACACCACTGCACACATACACCACTGCACACACACATCACTGCACACACCACTGCACACACATCACTGCACACACACTTTCACACACAGCACTGCACACACTCACATGTCTGCACTCTCTCACACACATTATACACACATCACTCTCACACACAGCACTGCACACACGCACATGCCTGCACTCTCACATACACAGAATTGTGAGCTCTTTCAGAGGCTGAATGCTCAGGCCCCAGCCCCCACATGGTGGCCCACAACCATCAGTAAGTAGTTCCGGTTCCCGTGAGACCAAAGGCTTTTTCTGCCCCCCTTGGGTACCTTCATTCACATGTATGCACACACACACACACACACAAATAAAAATAAGCAATCACTAAGAAAGAAAGAAATCAATTGGGCATGGTGGCGCACACCTTTAATCCCAGCACTTGGGAGGCAGAGACAGGTGATCTCTTGAGTTCCAGACCAGCCTGGTCTACAGAATGAGTTCCAGGACAGCCTGGTCTACACAGAGAAACCCTGTCACAAAACAAACAAATGAAACCATCAAATCACCCCCTTCAAAGAATTGTCCACATCAAGGCAGCAAAGAAAAGCAGAGGGGACCCTGTAAGGAGCAAGCTCCTTCAGGGCTGAGTGTGGCCCGACACTGGATGTTCATGCAGGTTCTGGACACAGGAGAGCGGCTTATGGTCCCTGTGGATGTCTTGGAAGAGGAGAACAAGGGGGCCCTGTGGAAGTTTCTGCTCTCAGGAGCCATGGCTGGGGCAGTGTCTCGCACAGGGACGGCCCCCCTGGACAGAGCCAGAGTATACATGCAGGTTTGTCTGCAGGGCTGGAGCCCTTTGGAGAACAGTATAGTGGAGAGGGGTGGAGGAGATGGAGTTGGTGGAGCTCAGGAGAGCCTGGGTCTCGACATAGAGGTCTCGTAAAGTGGAGCTGAGACTGGAGTTGCGGGTGATGGGGACAGGAAGTAGTGCTGGGACTGGGCTCAGAGAACTCCAGTCACAGAGAGCAACACAGTCCAAGTTAAAAGGTTTGGAGGTCTGCGGGTTGTGGGTGATATCTCTGAGGTGCTTGCAGAGGGACGTGCGGGCATGGAAGGGACTGAGGATGGACCCCAGGGCTTCACACACACTAGAGAAGCCCTCGCTGCTGAGCAACATTCCCAGCCCTCCTTTTTTTCCTTTTGAAAACACATTTATTTTTATTTTATATGAGTGAGAATTTGACCCCATGTCCGCGCACCGCATGCATGCAGTGCCACTGGACGCCAACAGGGGGCGATGGGTTCGCTCGAACTGGAGTTCGAGGTGGTTGTGAGCCTCCATGTGGATGACGGGAAGGGAATCAGGTTCCTCCACAGCAGCGGCAGGTGCTCTTGACCCGAGCCGGCTCTCCAGGGCTCTGACCACTGGACGGTCACTCCCGTGGCCCTCTTGTCACTTTTTATTTTCAGATATCTCAGTAAGTAGCTCGGGTTGGCCCTGAACTCACTCTGTAGCCCAGAAAGGACTTGAACTACAGTGTTCCTAACTCAGGCTCCCAAAGAGTTGGGCTTACAGACCAGCCTCGCCAGAGCTGGCCACAGTGGGGTTTTAGATAAATGTTAAGACTACATAGGTGGATCCACCTAGAGGCACAGGCCTGTGACTCCAGCTGTTCCGGAGGCTGAAGCGGGAGGATCTCCACTTCAAGGCTAGTTTGGGCAATTTTAGTGAGAAGACCATGTGTCAAAATATAAAATAAAAAGAAGGCTAGAGCCGGGCGGTGGTGGCGCACGCCTTTAATCCCAGCACTCGGGAGGCAGAGGCAGGCGGATCTCTGTGAGTTCGAGGCCACCCTGGTCTACAAGAGCTAGTGCCAGGACAGGCTCCAAAGCTACAGAGAAACCCTGTCTCGAAAAAAAAAAAAAAAAGAAGAAGAAGAAGAAGGAGGAGGAGG